CATATAATTTTTTTATCTTTTTGAATAAAATTGTATAACATGTAAATGTAAGTCAGTCTTTTGTTTTAATTGTCCTAGGCTGCATTACTCTGATGACCTCGTGTATCATCCTTGTTTAATATTAGGTGAAAAACAAGGGTAAAACGATACATGAAGGCAATTGGATAACATTTCTGAATACAGCCCTAATGGTATCGATACTACTAGTAAAAATTCCGATAAAAAAAGTATTTTAAAAGTAACTTAAAGTTACTTTTTCAGTAATTGTAACTGTAACGAATTATTTTTCAGAATCAATAACTCGTAACGATAATTAATTACTTTTTGAAAGAGAAAAACTGTAACTGTAATTAATTACTTTTACAAAGTAACTTTCCATCCCTGAGTATCACTAACGATAAAATATGTCAATTTAGCAGTAAAAGATATTAAAATATGATGGCAGATTTCGATAAAGTTTTCATATAGTGCTATTATTGTGAAAGTGTATTGTAGGATATCCATCAAAAACAATACACGCGTATTTTTGTTAACTCTATCTTTGTTAATTCTAAATTATGAATGTCACATCGGCGTTATTTTAGACATTGTTAACAGTATATCGACCTGAACCATAGAAGGTGCTATATCGAGAAAAACACGAAGAAAAGTCTATGTTAAGAAATTAATAAAAGCGATTTATTTCGTGTGAGGCGTTAAGACAGATTTAAATTGGAATGCATACGAAATACGGTTTATATCGAGAAAGCGACAAGAACGATTCAAGTTGCATGAAATTAAAGAAGGATCTTATATAGCGCAATATTTACTACTTATAAATACAAATTTTGTTACGGAAAATTAAATAATAAATGAATAAATGAGTGCGAGAAACGGGATGAAAAATCCAGACGATTCCCATTCTCAGTCATACCACTATAAAATTTATGAGAAGAAAATATTGCGCTACATAGACCCATCTTTAATTTCATGCGACTTGAACTGTTTTTGTCGCTTTGTCAATATAAACCGTACTTCGTATGCTTTTCGACATAGACCGGTTTTCACGCATCACGCGAAATAGATTGCTTTTCATCAATTTCTTTATGAGACCTTTCTTTATGTTTTTCTCGATATAGCACCTTTTATGGTTCAAGCGTCGATATTCTCCTGTCGTTTTGCAAAAAGTGTTTAAGGCGTTTAATGAGTGAAATAATTACGTTAACGGCGAACTTTCGCGATATAATTTCTTTGATAAAAAATTTATAAAGCCAAAAATTATATTTTCCTACGGCTTTAGGTGGATAAACTTGAAAGTAAACATTCGAAAAAATTTAAACCGCAAGGACTACAAAAGGAATTCAAAGAATATATTACAATAAAATTAATTGAGAATCCTCTGAAAAGTTTGGGATTTGAATATTTAAAAAATGACTTTTATGGCAGTGATTAAATCTCGAAATTTGCCAAATTTGGATGAACAAGAACAAACGGACGATGACATAAAAGAAATGAAGAAAGGTTCACATGTATGCCAATACTGCGGTAAGATTCATGCTTTTCGTGATTAATATTTTTAATGTTTTTGATAATTGTATTATTTCAACAGTTATCCGTTTTATGTTACTATTTTTATATTCGTTTTATAACAACAATTTTCCTTAATATTAAAGATAAGCAATTTACCTCTTTGAAAGCTTGGAAACAACATCATAAAGAAGTACATTTTCAAGTTAAACCCTATAACTGCGGAATGTGTGATAAAACGTTTCAGTATGAATCCGAATTACGTGGTCATGTTATACTTCATGGAAAGGGAAAACCTTATCCGTGCATGCATTGTGAAGAAACATTTAAGTGAGTATTTAAGTGTGAATAACAACAATTAGAAAAATTATTCGATATCTATTCTGAAATTAATTGATAACAAATGATAAATGTTGCTATGGTCATTTTGTAGTCGAAAAGCGAATCGAGATAGGCATGCAGAGGCGAAGCATGTCATTGATAAAAATTACAAGTGTATCGTGTGTAAGAAATTTTTCAAAATTCAGCAGGATTTGCGTGATCATATAGACACAGATCATCCTGAAAGAAAGTACAAATGTAACGAATGTCCATCTACATTTACTCATCAGAGGACCTTTAACGCGCACATAAAGATTATACATAAAGGCGGTAGAACACATCTTTGTAAGGTATGTGCTACAAAATTATCGTTAATATCTTTTTTATTTCTCATATGATTGTTACATTTCGTTAAACATAAATGTGTTGTATTTTAGGTTTGTGGCAAAACCTTTCGTACCAAACATCACAGGGACAGCCACAGTTTGGTACACAGTAATAAAAAGCAGTATGAATGTTCGAAGTGTGGCAAGGGCTTCAAACATAGAAACACATTTATTGTACATTTGCGAAAGGTCTTTCACGAGAAAATATTTAATCGATTTAAGCAAATTCTCATTTGTCTTTTTATTTTTGTTATATACTTATAACACACTATATTATAATAGATAATTACAATATACCACATTTTATATATAAAAAATTACTTATTTTTAGGATCACAGCGGTGACACCACAGAGGTGACACACACTTGTAAGAAAAATGAAGAACAAATAGCTCAACGAATTATGACCATTCTTAACGAAGCAGCTCAACAATCTGATCAAAATTAAACATAAAGCGAGTGTCAATAGAGCGTTAATTGGAGTATAAAGCCAGTGTAAAGAGAGAGTAACGGAAACGTAAATGAAACCCATAAGAAGCAAAAATTGGAATATGGAATGTAAAGGGAGCGTCGACTAAACGTTAAAGAAACATAAATAAAGTATAGATAAGTTCTTCGGCAAGCACGAGCAGAATGTTCGTTGAATGTATACAGAGCGTGATTAAGCAATTTAGAGAACGTAAACGGAACATCGTCAAGTTCTTAGATGAACGTGAATAAAATATAATCGAGGTCCTTGGTAAGCAAACGATATTTTAAAATATATTTCATTTATTCGGTAAATATCTAAAAAAAAATACTATGCTTTCTTCTTGGAGCCCTAGGGGCTCACTTCAAAAAATTATTTCATTAGAACACAACTGAAAAATCTTTCAATGCTACGTCTTTTATCCTAATCTGTGCGGTTTTTAAATTTGAGAAGTTAATTCTCGCTAAGTCTCTGGTGGCGGTGCCGCGTACTACTCATCGACGCTTCGTTTACGTTCACTGTACAGCTCAATGACGCTCCGTTTTATTACCGGTGTTGAACTTAATTCCTGCCGCTCGCTACTAGAGGGTGCTCCAACGCTGGCGAGTTTCGTCGATGAAGTCATATGTCTTTTGTAGACATCGCTGAAAGTGATTCAATCCTCACAGGTTAGATTTCTCGACGCCAAAGAGATTTTCCCATCGATTGGAAATGAATCGCGATAAGCTGTTTTTCCGACATGTGCTTCTTCACTACTTCGACCTCAAGAAAACC